TGGCAACATGTTAGAAAATTTCTTTTTACAGTTGCCACTCCGTTCTCATGAACTTCATGTCCGTGGTTTTATATATTCACAGAGGGGCAACCTCTGTTTAAAAAAATGAGGTGTGTTCCCGTGGGGGCACGGCCCATTCAAGCCTATAGGGCTTGAATATTCACAAATCTCCATTTCACAGGGGTGGTTGTGGTCAAGAACAGATCCCCCACAAAAACAGGGCCAACTGTATTTTAATTTCATTAATTATTTTGTTTCAGTCTTGCCTTTTCCCCCATCATGAGACTCAAGGAACAGATATGGTTAAAAACAATAGTAAGGAACAATTAAATAAATTGTCCTATTAAAAATAGCAGCAATATAAGATCATTTAAAAGCATTTAAAACATAACAGTGGGGATGTAAGTACATCACCCCCATTAAAAGACTCTTGCAGCAACCATTAGAAGATTCTTGCAGCAACTAGTTAATAGCTAAAAGCCTGTCTAAATAAAAAAGCTCTTTGATGCCTGTGGAAAGAAAACAGAAGGAGATGCAGGGTCATTTTCACAATATTCTAGACTAGGAAAAAACACACACCATGCTTTTCTCTGCAATTCCCAGCTAAAGATGTTGTAATCTCATCTTTGTGTGAAAGGAAACCACAGAAGACAGCAGTTTGAGTCAGACAGAGAAGATGAGAATTAGACAGCTGATGCCTGGGCGCTCTGCACTAACAGAGATTTGATGTGGGAACTGTGGACTTGGGTTGTGTGTTAGAGGATTTAAGCTGATCTTCCACTTATGCTCACCCTGTGCATTTGTAGATGAACATTGCCACTACTGTGGTCTTTGAGGGACAGAAGAATAAACAGTATCTGCTGGATTTCCCCACTGCCATTCCCTTTTCCTTATATTTCATGTCTTATTTAGATTGTAAGCCTGAGGGCAGGGAACTGTCAATTTCCGGAAGGGTTTTTGGCTGAAGGGTAAGCTGTAAATATTCTAAATAAAAATAAATGAATAATCAATACAAAATGCCAATAAGCCTCCAGGAGTATCTTTAGGACTCAAGGGAACTAAGCCAGGATAAGTCCTGCATTCCTGAAATTTCTCACTGTTCAGAAAAATGTAGTGGACACAGCAATATATGAAAGTGTGTTATCAACAGTGCATTTTTCTGAATTTTGGTGTGTGTATGAATTCCACATGGCCCCAAATGCACTCTGCAGTGAACCCCAAGTGCCTCCATGGGAAGGCAGAAAGGTCCCTTGGAAGGCTGGAAAATCCCCAAACCCCAGAGCCAGGCAGATAGTGTGAGACTTGCAAATGGACCATCATCACCTCCATAATCAGAAGGCTGGCCGATAATGGCCGAGATGTCTCACCTGATGGGCTAGCTAATAACTTAATCCTCTCCCATTTCCCCTTGAATATTGCCAGATCGGATTACCTCACCCAGGCAGTCTCACACCTTTGCCTGGCGGGTAGTTTTATCCCTTAAAAACCCCTGGAATTCTCTCCTCAGTGTCACTAGTCTGAGTTCAGGGGGACCCTGCGTCACTTTGTACTCTGATCTAATTACCGGCACCTCTGTTCAACCCACGCTCTCGGAACAGTTGTGTCTCACTCCACTTCACCCAATTGGATCCCAGAGAAAGCTTAATCTGTAGTAAGTATCACCCATAGTTTTGCCTCTAAACCTTTTCCAAGCAAACCCCTGATTTCCTGAGCCTTGAATGAGTATGTGTGTGTGTGAATTGCTGTGTGATTTCCCCCTTTAATAAATAATACTTTAATTGGAGAATTCTGTCTCTTTAATTGGAGAATTAAAGAGTACTTTAATTGGAGAATTCTGTCTTCTTAGACCCACCGGACTCTTGGTATACACGTGGGAAACAGTCTCGCAGGGTCCTTGTAGCCGAACTCCCCTCGATTTGAGCTAAATAAAATTCCCCATACTAGACTTTAGGCTACAAGTGAAATGTACACATTTGCTTATTGGTATGCATGATTGGTGATTCCATTTATTCAGTGTATGTGCACTCATTTTCCATTCACTGTCTTGAGTCCTGTTGTGACCTCCTGTAATACCCACATATGTGCTGTTTAAGTCATAACAGAAGTAGGTATTTAGTATCACCTTGCACAAGTGATGTTTTCCATACTGAAGTAGAGCCAGTTCATGGCTAGGGAAAGGAGCCCTAGGAAAGGAGCACTGGCGGTGCAGTGGTTAAATGCCTGTACAGCAGCCACTCACTTACAAACCACAAGGTTGTGAGTTCAATACCAGCCAGGGGCTCAGGGTCGACTCAGGCTTGCATCCTTCCAAGGTTGCTAAAATGAGTACCCAGCTTGTTTGGGGCAATTAGCTTACAGTTGTAAACTGCTTAGAGACTGCATATAACGGTATGAAGTGGTATATAAATGAAGCTGCTATTGCTATTGCTAAAG